AAATTTAACTGCTAATAACTCCGTGAGTAATGGTCTGTTGTGAGCCAAATTTGAAGAAGGAACTTTTAGTTCAAAGTTTCATCCTCTTTCACTCTGTGAATCATTAATCACGAGACACGGTAGTGTCTCGCGCCAAGTATAAGCGACTAAGTATAAGCGACAAACCTAACCACATTATCCATTACGGGACACCCTGTATACATATTGATATCGATTTTCATCGTGTCTATCTGCATCATCTTTTCATGTGGACAGATATTTTCAAACATTTCATATTGAGATGGGTTACTCCGCCAATGAGAGCATTTAACTGAGGAAACATAATTTTATGATATCAGTCCATGATTTTTGCTATTTTCCATTGTATTAAATTTAAATATGCCTAGAACGAAACTAAAATTAGACATTCCTTGTTTAACACCAAGGCAGCAGCGACGTAATTTTTTAAGAGAACTTAAGAATATTCGTAATCGGCCTGTTAATTTGAATTCTTTAAAAGTTGAAAATGATATCGTACGTGAAGCTGTACCAAACAGCATCGAGCAATTATCTCAGCAGCAAAATGATGTAAATGATGACTTAATTTCTATATGTTTGAAAGTTAGTGCCAATGAAAATAATCTTTCGTCAAGCAATTCTGATGAATTGTCTTTTTTAATTGATATTTCAGACGAGATTCGAAAATGGGCCATTGAGAATTCTTTGAGCCATTTTGCTTTAAATGGTTTATTGAAAATTCTCGTGAAATACGGCCATGACCTACCAATTGATGCTAGAACTTTGCTTCGAACTCCAAAACAAGTGGATATTTTTCAAATGGAACCGGGGCATTATTATCATGCAGGTTTAAGCAAAAGTTTAAAAAAGTCTGTTCGTAAGCATTATTCACGAGTTTCCTGTCCATCGCAAATAAATATTAACGTGAACGTAGATTGTCTCCCGTTAACAAAATCATCTGGCAGTCAATTTTGGCCCATTTTGGCTAGTATTGTGGCAGATTTTTACACCGAACCATTTATAGTCGGTGTATACCACGGTAATAAAAAACCAAAATGCGGTAATGATTTTATGCAGTATTTTACGAAAGATTGCGTTGAAATTTTGAGATTAGGCATTATAGAATTTGTGGGACAATTGAGGTGACGATAGCTTGTTATCAGTTAACGCTCTTTATTGTTACCTGATACACTATATTCTGTACACCCTTCAGTCTTACAAAATGCGTGTGTGTAGTACAGATCGAGATGACTGACTGACTGATGTAACTAACTTAGGCAATGAATAGATAGATTACATAGGTTGGTAGACAACCGTTGGAAACAGGCACCAGCCAGTCGGGCCTTATGCATCGGCGCGCTGCCAACATGGCGCCAGATCCAATAGGGACAAGCAATTATCCTTCAGAATTTGATAAAAAAATAACTGTAAAAATTAATGGATTTATTTGCGATACCCCCGCAAGATCTTTTATCAAAGGAATTGTGGGGCATAATGCCCATTTTGGATGTGGTAACTGCATTCAGGAGGGAGATTATGTAAAACATCGAGTCACATTTCAAGAAATCCATGCAACACTAAGATCAGATGAATCTTTTAAGCTTAAACAACAGGAAGAGCATCATAAATTCACTTCAAGTCTTGAAGAATTAAATATTGGAATGGTCACACAATTCCCTTTGGACTATATGCATCTTGTGTTGTTAGGAGTAATGAAAAAATTGCTGCAGTTTTGGGTAAAAGGTAAAATGAACATACGTTTTGTGGCAGCTGTATCAGACCGTATTTCAAATTTGTTGCTGTCATTTTCGGTTTTCCTACCAAAGGAATTTTGTAGGAAACCAAGAGCACTCGATCAGGTTGATCGGTTTAAAGGTACTGAATTTAGGCAATTGTTGTTGTATACCGGACCCGTGATATTTTTTAACAAATTATCTCGCGATAAGTATATTCATTTCTTAAGTCTCAGTGTAGCGATTCGAATTTTATGTTCGAAAGAATATTGCGTACAACTACTTGATTATGCACGCAGCTTATTGTTGTATTTTGTAGAAAATTACGATATATTATATGGAAATGAGCATGTCTCATACAACGTGCATAATTTAATTCATTTGTGTGACTACGTGAACTTATGGGGGCCGTTAGATGAGTTTAGCGCATTTAAGTATGAAAATTACATGCAAAAAATTAAAAAAAATCAGATCTTCGAGTCGACCTTTACAACAGTTAATTAATCGTTACATGGAAGAAGATAATTTGAACTTAGCGTGCAAAGAAAAGAATTATCCAATTGTACAGTTTAGTAATATTTCAAATGCTAATGATGAAAGGGTAATAAAACCAATTCAATGCAAGGACTTCTATATTAGTACACGACCTGCTGATAATTGTTACTCCTTGCTTGATGGTACAACAATTTCGGTTATGAAAATGTATTTAAAAAATAAACAGATTTTCGTTCAAGGGAAAAAATATTTGAATGTCAAGTCATTTTTTAAAAGTCCATGCGATTCTTTAAGCATCGGAATTAAACAAATTAACGAATTAGAATACGAGTCGGTTATTGCTTCATTGACTGATATCAAAAGAAAAAACGTAAAATTGCCTTTACGCGAAGAACAAGCAGTAGTATTGCCTTTACTTCATCAAGAAATCTCTTTATGGCGAGTATTGATATACATGTAGCACATAGAAATGTAAGAAATTAATATTATTTAACAAAAGTTATTACTATATTACTTTGACAGACAAAAAATCAACAATGACAAAAGCATATGCAGTGGTAACGTTTACCCAAGACGGTGATGTTGAAGATGAAATCGTGTCTGAGGTACCGAGTTCATGGCTTCGATCAAATGCAACACAATGCTGGTGGCCATCGGTCAAAAATATAAATTCATTCATATTAAAACAAACTTTGCCTGATAAAGATGACTCAAAGTGGGCTCTATATCCTGTCGAATTTCATGGATATTATGGTAACCTATATTTTATTATCTATCCAGTTTTTATAAGTTATTAATATTGTTGGAGAATAATGTAATTTGAAAATTATGATTTTGTCCCAACCAAGATATGTTAGAACAGGCTAGAGCGAAGTCTACAAATTATTCATCATGTGATGACGGCAATATTCTACACCAAACAAAGAGAAATGTGCGAATATCCAGCAAATCCCAACGGGAAAAAACTCCGGCTAATTCTGATTCCGAATCTGATCCTGAGTCGAGATTTACTTTGCCAAATCCACCGACTCTTACAATGACTAAGATGCCTGTTACTAAACCCGCAAGTACTCCCAAGCCAGTTCAATCCATTGAAGAAGTCGTTGATCTGCAGGTCATTGAAGGATCAATAGTATCCCACAAAAGTAACGGCACATATTGATCTATTTATTATTTATACGTATTACCTTTATATCATATACATTGTTTAATAAGTATCAGGAATTATTTTTTAATCGCCAGTGCTTCTTATAAGAATAACACAATTAAATTTTTCAATCGACCGTACCTGGCAATTGTGTTTTTCAACACAGAAATTTTTATTGCGAAAAATATTACCTCAGCCAGGGTTTGAACCTGGACTTCCCTACTCACTAGGTTTAAAGTTCTTATTAGCGAGTATTCCAAGATTATTCTAGTCCTTCTCTAATTTTGTAGGCGTACAGGATTTACATACGCTAATGACATCAATGTCAACTAGCATGGAAGGTATTATATATTTTCTTTATCTTGTAATTTTTATTTTTGTTGCAATGATTTCTCAATGTTATTAATTTTTTAGATCATTTTAATAGAATATACGAAGTGTTAACTTCTCTGTCACAAACAGTTAAAGAGTTAAAAACTGGGTTACTAGCTGTAGAAATAAAAATTAATAAGACTCGAGATCCCCCTGCATTGGACGTGACAAATATGGAGCGTTCTTTCCCACTTCAAACAATTGATGATGTCAAGGCTTTTGAAAAGAATTTAACAGAAAATGTGGAAGAATACAACAAATTTGTAAATTATTGTAAGCAATTAAGAGGCCGTTAGACGAATTAAGGATATACGAAGACATGAGACAAGAGGAGCGTGTGGTGTAGTAGCCTTAGTGTTATGCCGAGAGAACGAAGGATCCCGGTTGGCTCCGTTTATTTTTCCGTCGCTTACATTACATTATACCATATGTATGAATTTAGTATATATGTATAATATGTATATACATACACTTTCATATTACTTAATTTTTCACGAACTTTCATGCTGCAATCTTATCATCCTCGAATTTTGGGACATCCTAATAAGGTAAATAAAGAAAAACATCATATAATGTAAGCGACGGAAAAATTAATGGAGCCAACCGGGATCCTTCGTTCTCTCGGCATAGCGCTAAGGCTACTACATATATATATGATATATATATATATACAGGGTGGGCCATTTTAATTTATAC